TCTGTGGTCCCTTTTGTATCTTCTCTGCTTTCTTGCATTTCTGCAGAAACTTGCTGCCGTGTCAATATGTGCAATCTTCTTGGAGATCCTCTCCACTTTGAGCCAGCAGTTTGTGGTGTTGATGGTAGCCATGATGTGGAGGTTTCAGTGTTCCTTTATTCATTCATGGGATGAGGGTCTCGCTGGCTAGGCAGCATTTATTGCCCATTCCTAATTGCCCAGAGGGCAGTTAAGAGTCAACCAGTTGGACTGGGGAGGACAAAGTCAGAGGTCACACAACGCCAGGTTATAGTCCAACAGGTTTATTTGAAATCACACAAGATTTTAGAGCGCAACCCTTTCGTCAGGTGAAGTGACAGAGACACAGTCCCAGAGAGTTTATAGGCAGAGAGATCAAGGGCAGAGAGATCAAAAGATCATACAATTGGTGTGAGAGGACAGTCAGATGATAAGTCTCTGCAGGTGACCAAGAGTGTTGGACAGTGAGTAAAGTGTTAACATCTGATGTCCATCCTGGAGTTCAGTTACTAGTGGTGTACCTCAAGGATCTGTTTTGGGGCCACTGCTGTTTGTCATTTTTATAAATGACCTGGATGAGGGCATAGAAGGATGGGTTAGTAAATTTGCAGATGACACCAAAGTCGGTGGAGTTGTGGATGGTGCGGAAGGATGTTGCAGGTTACAGAGGGACATAGATAAGCTGCAGAGCTGGGCTGAGAGGTGGCAAATGGAGTTTAATGCGGAAAAGTGTGAGGTGATTCACTTTGGAAGGAGTAACAGGAATACAGAGTACTGGGCTAAGGGTAAGATTCCTGGTAGTGTGGATGAGCAGAAAGATCTCGGTGTCCATGTGCATAGATCACTGAAAGTTGCCACCCAGGTTGATAGCGTTCTTAAGAAGGCGTACAGTATGTTAGGTTTTATTGGTAGAGGGATTGAGTTTTGGAGCCATGAGGTCATGTTGCAGCTGTACAAAACTCTGGTGCGGCCGCACTTGGAGTATTGCGTACAGTTCTGGTCACCGCATTATAGGAAGGATGTGGAAGCATTGGAAAGGGTGCAGAGGAGATTTACCAGGATGTTGCCTGGTATGGAGGGAAGGTCTTATGAGGAAAGGCTGAGGGTCTTGAGGCTGTTTTCGTTAGAGAGAAGAAGGTTAAGAGGTGACTTGATAGAGACATACAAGATCATCAGAGGATTAGATAGGGTGGACAGTGGGAGCCTTTTTCCTCAGATGGTGGTGGCTAGCACGAGGGGACATAGCTTTAAATTGAGGGGTGATAGATATAGGACAGATGTCAGAGGTAGGTTCTTTACTCAGAGAGTAGTAAGGGCGTGGAATGCCGTGCCTGCAAAAATAGTAGACTCGCCCACTTTAAGGGCATTTAAATGGTCATTGGATAAACATATGGATGATAATGGAATAGTTTAGGTTAGATGGGCTTCAGATTGGTTTCACAGGTCGGCGCAACATCGAGGGCCGAAGGGCCTGTACTGCGCTGTAATGTTCTATGTTCTATGTTCTATGTTCCAACCAGTGAAGAGTTGACCTATAATCCGAATAAGTGAGGCAGAGAGATAATCACAAAAGTTAAAAGTAAGGTGGTGCTGGAGACAAACTAAATGACGGGAATCGCATGCCGAATACCCACTGCATGGATAAGAGGCATGGTCAATGTGATGTCAGGTTCAATGATGTATAAAGTTTGGGTAGGTGCGACAGTCCTGAACATGCACATGGACCATATGAAAGCTGCAAAGTTGCAAACGGTGTGGGAGTAAAACATGCCCGGCTCCTCGACTGCCATTCCGACTGCTCCAGAGCTCAAGGGTTCTCTCTCTCTCCATCGAGCGTTGAAAATACCTTGGAATCTGAGATGGACACAGTGGTTGTCATTGCTGCCACGCCTTTGAAGAGTTGAATGAACTTCTTCCGAGGCACTCCGGGCACAAGAGGCAAGCTACTGTGCGTTACATGCCACCCTTATCAGAGGCAGAGTTAGAGGAATCTGACCCGATGCTAAAACACCCCAGAAAGAACTACGAAAGAGAACCAGTCTAGGTCCTCAGATTCAGAGGGGGAGGGATGGAGTGATTATAATGAGATCGGCCAGGTGGATCTCACAGACTATGAGTTACCCGATTGGGGTGGTTAACCTGGTTGTAGAGTCACAGAGATGTACAGCACAGAAACAGACCCTTCAGTCCAACTCATTCCTGCCAACCAGACATCCTAAACTAATCCAGTCCCATTTGCCAGCCCAATCAGGGAGCCCTGGCTGACAAACATAAACAGGAGTGTCATTCTGGTTCTATTCACTCTGAGAGTTGGCTCTGAGGGAGCTGTATCAGTTTTAAGGTCTTTCCACGGTTAAATAAAGTGTGACCTGGTGACGGAATACCAGTTATTTCAATGGCTTGACTGTTTCCGATGGCAGAGAATTCCACAGGCTCACTACTCCCTGGGTGAAGAACAAAATAACAAAAGAGAAGTATGGCATAGGAACAGGCCCTTTGGCCCTTCAAGCCTGTGCAGATCATCATGCCCTGACTAAACTAAAAAAATAAACCTGCCCTTATTTGGTCCGTATCCCTCTATTCCCTCCCTATTCATGTAAGCATTGAGACGCCTCTTAAATGTCGCCAATGTGCCTGTTTCCACCACCTCCTCTGGCAGTGCATTCCAGGCTCCTACCACTCTCTGCGTGAAAAACTTTCCTTGCACATCTCTCTTAAACTTGTGCCCTCTCACCTTGAACCAGTGTCCCTTTGTAATTGAAACTTCAATCCTGGGAAGAAGCCTCTGACTATCCAGCCTATCTATGCCTCTCATAATTTTGTAGACCTCTATCAGGTCTCCTCTCAGCTGCCGGAGTAGGCTGAGATGAGAAATTTCACATCTCAGCTTTCCCTGTACCCTTAGACTGTTACCCATGATTCTGTGTGTTATGTATGCAGTTGTGGGGGGTGGGGGGGCTGCCACTTTAAGACAGTTGGTCAGCTGACCTAGAGGGATGGAGCTTGGGGGAGGTCTAGAACTGGCTGTGGAGATGTGAGCATGGTCAATAAAGTATTCCTGTTCAGATTTACCATTTATCAACCTGCTGTTTCATTCCTGGTTCCAAAGGAAGCACCAATATGATTTTGGACTGCTCCGTTACTGGGGATATCCTTCCCGCCTTTTAGTCCTGTTGGAATTTTGTAGGTTTCTATCAGATCCACGCACCTCCCCCACCCCACCTTCCTCATTCTTCTAAACTCCAGTGAATATCGTCCTAACCGATCCAGTCTGCAGCTAGATCAAGGAGCAGACCCATAAGGAGGTTCTCCAAACTGCCTACCCATACCCCCAGAAGCAGATGACCAGCATGGGGCTGAAGTGCAGCCAGAAATTAAGCAGCAGCCCTGTCAAAACATGGAAGAGGGCAGAAGTAATATTGAGAAAGCCATTGAACAAGGACTGCCTGGACTGTCGATAACACAAACAGCCTTAGATTCTGTGAACCATCAGGACTCTCCTATTGCATTGGAATACTGTGTACAACATACACCATGTTATATCGCAAGTCTTCTTTATATGTGCTCAAGGTATTAATCAATGCCTTTTAACTGTGCATCCTTGATGATACAATGAATGTACCATTAACAGGGATGCCTCAGAAAGAGACTGCATTCAGCTCTCAAACATGATCAGCGTGAGTAGAAGAAATGACATGCACCCACTGATCTGCCAACCTGCTTTGGGAACAAAATCAACAACCAAGAGGGAACAGTTCAGGGTGTTGTTTTGTAGCACATTTAACAATATGTCCTCGCATTGTTCAGTATCAGCCAGTTGGTAGCATTCCCATCTGAGTCATAATGTTCCTGCACTCACATCCTATTCCAGAGACTCAGAACAAAAGGCAAGGCAGATATTTCAGTGCATTAATGAGTGAGGTACTGCAGTGTTTAAGATGCTGCCCTTCAGAAAAGACCTGCCCACTTACCTAGGTGTTAAAAATCCTATTGCTCTACTTCAGAGAAAACCAGATGGGACGCAGGCCAAATGGCCTAATTCTGCTCCTGTATCTCATGGTATATCCTGGCCCACATCTACCTCTCAATCAACAGCACAAGAACAGATTACTTAGTTGTTACCACACTACTGTTCGTGGAAGTTTGCTGTGAGCAAATTAGTTGCTGCTTTCTCTGCATAAAGTCATATAGAGTCGTACAGCACGGAAACAGACCCTTCCCTTCGGTCCAACCAGTCCATGCCGACCATAATCCCAAACTAAACTAGTCCCACCTGCCTCCTCCTGGCCTATATTCCTCCAAACCTTTCTTATTCATGTACTTATCCACGTGTCTTTTAAACGTTGTAACTGCACTCCCATCCACCACTTCCTCTGGCAGTTCATTTCACACACTAACCACTTTCTATAAAAGAAAATTGCCCCTCATGTTCTTTTTAAATCTTTTTCCTCTCACCGCATAAATATGCCCTCTAGTTTTGAACTCCCCCACCCTAGGGAAAAGACCTCTGTCATTCACCTTATCTATGCCCCTCATGATTTTATAAATCTCTATAAGGTCACCCCTAACCTCTTACATTCCAGTGAAATGAAGTTCCAGTCTTTCCAGTCTATGTTTATATTTCAAACCCTCCACTTCTGGCAACATCCTGGTATATCATTTCTGAACCCTCTCCAGTTCAATAACATTCTTCCTATAATAGGGTGACACAGTACTCCAGAAGAGGCCTCATCTAGGTCCTGTACAACCTCAACATGACATCCCAACTCCTATATTCAATGGTCTGAGCAATGAAGGCAAGCGTGCAAAATACCTTCTTAACCACCCTGTCTACCTGTGACACACATTTCAAAGAATTATGTACTGGAACCCCTGCGTCTCCATACAAACTGGCTTTGGAAACATCTTCAGGCTCTTTGACTTTGATAAATGAATAGAAGTCTGGTGGGTGAGTGAAACAAGTCCAAAACAGAGCTGCATACCTTGCCAAACACTTCTCTTCTGCTGCACACCGTAGGGAATACAAGTGAGACCTCTGCACGTATGTGGATGCTTGGACGTAGTAAGGGTCTGGTACCAAGTCAGGCAAACCTAAATGAAAATAGGGGAGGAAAAGAAGGAGAAAAAAAAAACTGTTATGAATCGCTGAACAAAGTTAACCTTCGTGGCCAACACATGGCTTTGCACATTGGAGGCCTAGGGCACAACTTTTTTTAAACTTATAGTCTTCTAACCCAAAGGGGTCAAAGAGTGGAATTTCTGTCTATGTAGAAATATAAAGTGCTGGAGAAACTCAACAGATCTAGCGTGACCCATAAGGAAACAGAAGTTAATATTTTTTGAGAGCAACACAACTCTTCTTCAGTTCTTCCATTGTCTTATCAACACGTTATTCCTTTCTCCTCATAAATGTTTTCTCCACATTTGATCGCACAGTTATCCTTTCAGGTGGCCCATATAAGCTTTCCTGTGTCAGGAAAGGGAGGTCCTAAAGAGCGCCCCAATATTTACAGAGTCCGAGGGTCTTGCCAAAGTATGACCAAGGGCAATTCTCAGAGACTGTGCCAAAACACACTGGAGGGGACAAATTCTCAAGAGCATGCTAATGTATACAAACTGGGTCCACAGGAATGCAACTATACCAGAGAAGGGGGAAGTCTAGAATATGCTGATTATAGGCAAAGGCTGTCCCAGGAATGCACCAACATTTGCCCTTTATTATGCCAATAAAGTGGGGTGGGAGCAGTGCCTGTATCTCAAAATATGCCAGTGTATACTGTGAATCTCCACCAGCACCAAACAAAAAAAAAAATGGCTGATGCATATTTCCTCGCTGCTTATTCCTATAACTAGTGAGACAGACAGTACTGAGACAAGGCTAGTTCTATAAAATGGCGCTGGGAAATCTCAACCCAAAATAACTACCATTATCCATTAAGCACCCATCACTTCAAACTTCCTTCTCCTGCTTCATGTGATATCACAGATACCACTATCAAATTCTTAATGTCTTCTCGAGTCAATTTAGTGATGCCTGGGTCAGGATAGAGTAGCTACGAGAGAAACTGTTCCCACTTATAAAAAGGATCAAGAACCAGAGGGTGCAGTTTTAAAGCGTTTTACAAAAGAGGGAACTGCAAAGTGCAAAAACACTTTTATATGCAGTGAGCGATGGAGAATGTGTCATGCACTGCCTGGAAATGTGCTGAAGGAAAGTTCAATTGAGGCTTTAGAGAGGGTTTTAATTAGTTGTTTAAATAGAATCAATGCTCAGTGTTATGAGGGAAAAGGCAGGGGAGAGGCACAAATTAGAATGCTCAGGCAGCCAGTACAGACATTATAGGCTGAATGGCCTCCTGTTGTTCTATAACAATCCTGCATTTCTGTGTCAATGATCTTCATCAGCAGTGAGGCAGGAACTGGACAGTGAAGGGAACTGGAATCAATTCATCAATTGGCTTTGATTTGAGTATATCCGCCTTTTCAAAACACAGGTAAGTGGGGCTAGTTTAGTTTGGGAAATTTAGTCAGCGTGGTCGAGTTGGAATGAAGGGTCTGTTTCCATGCTGTATGGCTCCATGACTCTAAGCACTATCACGTAATATCAATTGAAGAATCCAGAAGCTACAATCAATACATTGAAGACACCAGCTCAATTCCCATCGTAAGAGTTTGAGGAAATTTAAATTCCGTTGATTAATGAACTCTGATGTGAAATGCTGGTCTGATAAAATAATTACAGGACCATCAATTTAAAAAAAGAAATACCTGTCTCACCTCAGGGGGAGAAACCCTTACCCAATTTGGTCTATGTGTGTCTAAATCCATTGCAATATGTTTGACTCTTAACTGCCCTCAAATAGCCAAGCAAGGCACTCTTTGTTTGGTCGCTCACCACCAACTGTTCAGGGCAATTAGGGATGGGCAGTAAACACCGTCCATGTCAGGGACATTCATTCGAACAAATAAACAAAAAAATACACACATTAAAAAAAATCAGCTGCATTGCCTTAGGGAACAGCTGTCAAGATAGGTTGTGAAAAAAAAGCCTACAGTTAACTCTGCTTCTCTACACGGACAGTGCCAGACCTGCTGAGCTTCCTTCTGTTTTTTTTTCTGAGACAGTAGGTTGGTGCCTTCATGGACAGGCACTCATTTGGTTTGTAGGCCAGTCGGAGGCCGAACTAGTTAGGCAGCTCTTCCTGCTTTGTTGCAGTATTACAGTGTTGAAACAGGCCATTCAGCCCATCAGCTCCATGCTACTGTTCATATTCCGAACAAGTTTCCTCCCTTTCTTCTTCATCTCACAAGATTGGCATGTTCTGTGCCATATATGTGTTCATCTGGCTCCCCCTTAAATTAAATCTATGCTATTCACCTCAACTATTCCACATGGTAGGGAGTTTCACATTCGAACCACTGTCTGGGTTTCTCCCGACTTCCATTATGGATATTTTGGAGATTATATTTTTATTTATGTCCCTCTTGGCCTGTCTTTTTCACATGTGGAAACATAAGAACGTAAGAACCAGGAGCAGGAGTAGGCCATCTGGCCCTTTGAGCCTGCTCCGCCATTCAATAAGACCATGGTTAATCTTTTCATGGCCTCAGATCCACTGATGCACCTTCTCACCATAATCCTGAATTCCTTTACTATTCAAAAAATTATCTATCTTTGCTTTAAAAACATTCAATGAGGAAGCCTCAGCTGCTTCACTGGGCAGGGAATACCACAGATTCACAACCCTTTGGGTGAAGAACTTCCTCCTCAACTCAGTCCTAAATCTGCTCTCCCTTATTTTGGGGCTATGCCCCCAGTCCTAGTTTCTCCCGCCAGTGGAAACAAACTCCCTGCTTCTATTTTATCTATTCCCTTCATAATTTTATATGTTTCTATAAGATCCCCCAGATTTTTCTAAATTTCAATGAATATAATCCAGGTCTTTTTATGCCTCTCCTCATAAGCCAACCATCTTAATTCTGGAATCAACCTAGTAAACCTCCTCTGCACCCCCTCCAGTGCCAGTACATTCAAGTAAGGAGACCAAAACTGTACATAGTACTCCAGCTGTGGCCTCACCAGCACCCTGTACAGCTGCAGCATAACCTCCCTGTT